GACCAAGGCAATGCTGCGACGAGACTTTTTCGATGTTGATTGCTGTGTCTCGGCTTGATCTCTTGCAGCTTCGGTGCGAGCCAGATTGGGGAAAGAACCCATTTCAGAAGGATCTGGGGATGAAGGATCTGGTTGTGATGAACCGAATCCATTAGATTGTAAGATGTTGTGGGCATCTGCCTCACCAGTTGTACCAATATCCAAGAACCCATCGACAACATAGTACAAACCAGGGTTCCGCTCTCCTTGCTCTACAAGAACAGAGCCTTTGGGGAAGAAGACGATCTCAACCTCATCCTTCATGTCGCTGGCAAGGCCCTGAGCACTCACAGGAGCATGCAAAGCGGTTCCTCCAGAAGTCACTGACTCAGTTTCGCCGTCAACAGAACCATCGTAAGGAGGCATGAAACCGAAGGCATTGCTTTGGCTGTAAAACTTTGATCGTCGATGGTCATATGACACGAGTCTGGGAGAGCCTTCCATGGACTCGGGCTCGCGGGACGCGCTCCCGTTGGCATCAAGCCCAAGTGACTTGAACATGCACTCCAAAATAGAAGCACGGAAGAGATTGTCTTCGTCCACAGTTTCTCGTGGATCCATCGTCATGCGACCAAGCCTCCTTGAATCAAAAGGATCATTGAAAAACCTATCATCCTTTGGATTCGCGCCCTGGTGTCTCATCGAGGCCCCGGAAACGGATCGTTGGTCCGCCGGTGAGATACGCGAAGTCCCTCGAGCTAACTGAATATTAGACAGCAGATCTCCAGGACTTGGAGTGTGGGGAGAAGTTCTTTCGCGAGGTGGCGCAATAGTGCTTGTGACAACCGAAGTCGACCGCAGTTTGGTCATTGATTGCAGCATAGCCTCTTTCCGAAGAGTTGTGCTTGACCTTCGCCGATGAGTTGAGGCCGAGTTGTGCAATGCAATACCCTTCGTGTCATCATCTTCGTCTGTACGTTCCCTCTCCCGCTTGAACTTCTCCTTGAGGCGTTCTAGAGCATCACCCCGCAGGATATTGGGGAGCTGGCATACCGTATACTTGATCATGCTCTTCTCTGTCTGCAGGACTTCGCTAGTCAAGCCGAGATAGTTGAATGCTTGCGCAAGCGTGACTCTCTGGAATCTTGAGAGAATAACATGAACAATGTGTGCGGTTGCCTTGGGGTAGATCTTGATGAGCCTTCTGAATGCACTTGCTGGGATGATGGCAATTGTTGTATCAACTGTAGCACGAGCAATAATGTCTGGGTGAGCCGAGCCAGATGTTGCCCTTGTTGGCAAGGGCGGCCTAGTAGGTGGAGGTGTCTCGCCATCCAATGACATGGCAGGAATCGCAGCCTGATCAGTTTCCAAGCCAGAAACACCAAGGCCTTCGGGTTTCTTCTCATCCGTCTCAGTATCATTCCGGGAATGAGGTGTGCCTGGCATGGACATGTTGACATCCGAAGGGACACGTCGAAGATGAGGCTTTTCGAAAGTCGGGTGTTTGAGGCCGCTGCTTTTGGCAGGATGTAGAGAGGGGTCCTCCTGATCATCATTAGGTCGTAGCCTAACATCCTCTGTAAACAGAGACATGATTGAGAACAAGGATGACATAGGTGCACCATTCCGAACTTCTGTCAGAAGCTGGTAGGTTTGTTGACCAGGAGCGATATCGTCCTCATCGGACGAGTCCAGGTCAAGATGTCCTCGAGAGGCGGCTGCTGCGCGTGGGCTTCGGTTTGATTTGACAAAGATCTCTACCAAGCCATCGACGACGATACAGAAGCCTTTTTCTTCTTCGAGGTTGATGGTCTCTCCAGCAATAAGTTTCCTCGTTTGCATGCTCCGAGTCAACTCATGAAAGACAGGTCGTTCCAGGTAACCGAAGATCTTGATGGCACTCAAGAACTCGTCCAGGTAGTTTGCCAACCCAGACTTAGTACCACCTTCGTGAGTGTCTGGAAAGAGATCGATGTCCGGCTCTTTGCGCTGAGGCTCTGGTGGCAGACGGGAGTACATGTTCAGGATGCGATACCTGACAACCCAACTGACGGCCGACACGACCGCTACCATGATAAACATCCTACAGGCGTGTTAATATTACGAAGCAAACGAGATTATTGGCAAACATACAGTGTAGTAGCGTTCATGGTAACAGTCCAGCTTGTTGAGAACAAGTGGAATAGAAAGGAAGGGACATTGATAGTCGCAATTCGAATGACCCAATAAAGAATTGTGGAAGTGATGTGAAGAAGAAACCATATCAGCCACCCAAAGAGGCCAAACCAGGTGTAAGGCTCATGGGCGGTGACAGCAGGCATGGTGCTCACGATAGAGGGAGAGGAGCTGCTGAGGGCATGGGCGACAGTCTCAGCGACGTCGCCGGCCATTTGGGCGGCATTTGACGGATCAGATGCCATGGCTGGTTATGAGGCTGCTGCGCATCATACCGTAGCATCCTGTAGAAAAAAAGAGCCGCATGGAAGCGGAGGGAGAGTTTTGGAGCAAGGGAGAAAATTGGAGGTAGAGGTTTTATGAGCATGGGAAAGGAAAAAAGAGCGTGGCTGCTTCTGCGCGTGAGAGCTTTTAGCTTGTGATCGGTGCGGAGCTGCAGGGGAGCTCAGGTGCCGAGGATTGGCCGGTTAAGGCCCCACTTCACTGAGTGACGGTGGGTGAGCCGCTGAATTTGTTCCGCTTGGGTAGGTGTGGTGGAGGGGCTGCCCGTTGGTGCCGTCACCTTGTGCATCTGCTTGGATAAGCCATCACTATTCTTTTCTCTAGATATAACGATCGCGATTCCCAGGTCGATTTATTTGGTGCATAAAACAGACGGTAATAGCCTGTTTTGTCTTGTGCCAAGCTGCTACATCCCACAGTTGCATCTCACTTGATCATGCGCTCTTGAGCTCGGCACCCTACGACAGCCTCTCAGATGCCCTTTGCGCAACTCGTCGTCGGCAGCCCAGGCTCTGGAAAGAGTACCTACTGCGATGGCAGTAAGTTCTGCAAGAGACTGAATCTTCCTGTAACTGTATACTGACTGATATAGTGCACCAGTTCCTGGGCGCCATCGGGCGAGCCTGTTCAGTCGTAAATCTCGATCCTGCCAATGACCATACAAACTATCCTGCGGCACTCGATATTCGCAACCTAGTGAAACTCGAAGAAATTATGAAAGATGACAAGCTGGGACCTAATGGTGGCATTTTATATGCCCTTGAAGAACTGGAACATAATTTTGAGTGGTTGGAAGAGGGACTGAAAGAATTTAGCGAAGACTACATTCTTTTCGACTGCCCGGGACAGGTGGAACTATACACACACCACAACTCCCTACGGAATATCTTCTATAAACTCCAGAAGATTGGATACAGGGTTGGTAGCTTCCTCTCTACGGAAACGTAGCGACTAACCGTTGATAGCTTGTCTGCGTCCACCTCTCGGATTCTTTCTGCCTGACGCAACCCTCGCTATACGTATCGAACGTCCTCCTTTCCCTCCGAGCCATGATCCAGATGGATATGCCACATATAAACATACTCTCAAAGATCGACAAAGTCTCCGAGTACGACGAGCTTCCGTTCAATCTCGACTATTATACAGATGTGGACGACTTGACGTATTTGACACCCCATCTCGAATCAGAATCGCCCGCTTTGAGGAGCGAAAAGTTTGGTAAGCTCAATGAAGCTATCGCAAATTTGATCGAAAGCTACGGCCTGGTGCGTTACGAGGTCCTGGCCGTCGAAAATAAGAAAAGCATGATGCACATTCTTCGTGTCATTGATCGTGCCGGTGGATACGTCTTTGGGGGTGCTGAAGGTGCCAATGATACAGTGTGGGCGGTCGCCATGAGGAGTGAGTCGTCTATGCTAGAGGTGCAGGATATCCAGGAGCGTTGGATTGATCAAAAGGTGGAATATGACCAAATAGAACGTGAGGCCGAGGAAGAGCAGGCTCGCATTCAAGAGGAACAAGCCATGGAGCTGGACCAAAGCGAACCATTTGCTCCAGCAGGCGGAATGGACCCCGACTTTGGAGATATGACAGTTCCAAAGGACAGTGGGATCAAGGTAGTTAGAAAGAAATGATACCCGTTCATCAATCCGCATCATCCATTTCTTCATCACTCGACGCGTCGTTGATGTCGATAACCATTCCGTCCTGATTACGCAGAGAAAGGCTGTGAGAAGATTGGGAGTCCGTATCCTCCTTTGCAGCAAGGATGAGTCTCTTGGCCTGGCGAATAGCTTCTTCCTCAGCTTTGCGAATTGTACCACTGACGCGTACAACACGAAAGATACACGGCCTGCCGTCTTTGACGGGAACGTGATCCATAAAGGTCAGTGTTGACCAGAGCATTTGATAGTGAGCCCTTGAACATCGTAGGATGAAAGTTGAGGTTGCCAGGGATAAGTATTTTACTAGACATGTTAGAAATGCGACGCGGTTAGAAGCAAACAGCAAAATGCTCACCTGAGCAGCTCATCAAAGCTCCAGATCCACAGTCGCCATAAAGCGACGCGACTTCAGCTCTGATACCCCTGATGAGTGCGCCAGGAGTGAGCTTTTCGATTGTTGGCTGGTGATTAAGAACGAAGTCTGGCAAATCTGATTTTGCAGCCTTTGCAGGGTCTGGCAGGTAAACAATGTTGACAAGGAGATATCTTTCCTTTATGCGCACCATTTTGAGGAAGCGGCGGTGAAAAATCGAGTGATGTTGTTGTAGATGTTGACGAATAAAAGAAGTTGAACCAAAGCTTGTGACTGAAGAAGTTGACTTGCATCTCTGTGGAAGTTTGGCGGCTTCGGGGTCTGCCCCACTAAGACCGGGGCGGTCCAGCGGGGCCGTAGACGAGGGAGCTTCCCCGCCGTCATCAGTTGATGAACTCAATTATTATATTTGCTCATTTCTCCCTGCAAGAGCTATATCCTTTGATAACTATACCTCAGTATTGATATTGTTATTCTATGAAACGGAGTTCTTCATAAATTGTCACTCAATTGTCGCAAAAACCATGGCTTCCGGTCCCTTGAAGGCGGCTCTTCTTATCGTCTCAACGACAGCAGCCAAAGACGCTTCTGCTGATGCTTCAGGACCTATCCTTGCCCAAGTACTGAAAGATGAAGGTGATGAAAAGTGGGAGGTTCAAGATACGAAGATTGTCTCAGACGATGTACTCGCTATCCAACGACAGATAACTGCCTGGACCGACGGTCCTGATAGTGTCAACCTCGTTGTGACTACTGGCGGAACTGGTTTTGCTACTGGAGACTCTACCCCAGAAGTCAGCACTCTATATGGGCTTTTATGAACAATCTAAGGCTAATAGTATCTAGGCAGTCACTCCCTTACTGCATAAGCAAGCCCCAGGCCTCGTTCATGGCATGTTAGCAGCCTCTCTCACAGTAACACCCTGTAAGTGATATCGCTTCCAATATCGTACCAGATAGTCCTAACAAGATCGATAGTTGCAATGATGTCACGTCCAGCAGCAGGGGTCCGCAACTCGTCCATCATTGTGACCTTACCTGGCTCGCCTAAAGGCGCAAAGGAGAACCTCCAAGCCATCGTTAAGACACTACCCCATGCCTGTATCCAGGCTAAAGGTGGCAACTCCAGAGCTATTCACTCTGGTGGAATCAAGAAACTGGAAGCTGAAGCAGGCCTTACAGGTGGAGATGCTCAGCCTGCACCTGCTGGTGGATGTGGTCATCATCACCACGGCCATGGAAATCTCGTGAGACACACAAAGTCCGGTACTACTCTCTCTAATGATCCTGCACTTGGGCCTTCTCGTAGATATCGAGAATCACCCTACCCCATGCTACCAGTCGAAGAAGCCCTGTCGTTGATCGAAGAGCATACCCCCGAACCCGAGGCTATCACAGCACCAGTTAATCAGTCCATCATCAACTCAGTTCTAGCTGAGGACGTCAAGGCCAGAGAGAATGTTCCGGCCTTCCGCGCCAGTATCGTGGATGGCTACGCTGTTGTGGCCCCTAAAGACGGCCAGCTGAACGGCGTCTTCCCTGTAACAGCCATATCTCATGCTTCACCTGGCGAGATCGGGGCTCTGAATGAGGGAGAGTTGGCTAGAATCACCACCGGAGCCCCTCTGCCTCCTGGTGCCACGACTGTTGTTATGGTCGAGGATACTATCCTCAAAACAATGTCAGAGGACGGTAAAGAGGAGAAGGAAGTTGAAATTCAAGTCGATGGGGTAAAGGAGGGTGAAAACATCCGCGAAGTTGGTAGTGATGTCAAAGAAGGAACTGTCATTCTCAACAAGGGAGAGACTATCAGCGGCGTTGGCGGTGAGATCGGTCTTCTCGCTTCTGTGGGAGTCTCAGAGGCAAAGGTCTACCGTCGTCCTGTGATAGCCGTATTATCCACTGGTGATGAGATCGTCGAGTACAACCGCCCAGGTGATCTGAAACTTGGCGAAGTCCGCGACACCAATCGAATTACTCTCATGTCCGCAGCGAAAGAATGGGGCTATGAAGTTATCGATCTCGGTATTGCTAGTGACAAGCCCGGTACTTTGGAGGAGACGCTCCGTGATGGACTCAGACGTGCAGATTTGCTCATCACCACTGGTGGTGTCTCTATGGGCGAGCTCGATCTCCTCAAACCAACGATTGAGCGTTCTCTTGGCGGCACTATTCACTTCGGGCGTGTTGCTATGAAGCCTGGAAAACCAACCACCTTTGCCACAGTTCCTGTCAAGGACAATTCGGGCCAGCGTGTTACCAAGACCATCTTCTCACTTCCTGGCAACCCAGCGTCGGCTCTGGTTACTTTCCATTTGTTTGTGCTTCCTTCGCTGCACAAATTGTCTGGCGCCTCAACTAAGGGCCTCCCAAGGGTACCTGCTGTCATCTCGCACGACTTCCCCTTAGACCCTAGACCCGAGTATCACCGCGCCGCGGTTACCGTTGGAAAGGATGGGCTCCTCTCAGCTACAAGTACCGGAGGGCAACGCAGCTCCAAGGTTGGAAGCTTGAGGTCAGCTAACGCCTTGGTCATTTTGCCAAGTGGAAAGGGGAAACTGGAGAAGGGGTCAAAGGTTGAGGTTTTGCTATTGAGCGCTGTGCAGGCTGCTTAGAAGCCGATCATACTGCGCAATATACAAGTCTTCCAGCCAATAATGAGCTGCAACCAAACATACAATGCACACGCCTGCATCAAAAGCTAATCTTGAGTAACATATAATTCAAATCTCATCGTGATGTACACTTCCACCTCAAAATGATACTGGTACTGGTACTGGTACAGGTACAGCCAAAACACGTCCTCCCAAACCAATCTTCCAAACGCCTGACCAAATATTATTGGCGCAATGCATGCACGCGCTCCGTCTCTTTTGAACACACAAGGTGATGCCGTCGGTAAACCCGTCGGACTTGATGTCTAAGGTTAATGGATAGGTGGAAGACTTATTTCTTCTCGCCGAAGGCAGGGGCCTTGCTAGAGACCAGAAGACCGATGATCAGACCGAACAGGCCAAGCACCGAGCTGAAAATCTCTATGACCAGAATCTTGACAAAGCTTAAGACATGTAAGTAATTTGTCTAAGTTATGACCAAGTTAGGTAGATGACGTACAGTGAGGGATCGGCAGCATCGGCCAGAGCAGCACCACTTCCGTTGATACCAACGGCAACACCGCAGACAAGGTTGCACATGCCGACGGTGAGACCAGACCAGAAGAGTGCATATCCAGTGTAGTAGGAGTTGGCGGAGTAGAGCTCAGCTCCAGAGACGTTCTCGACCTTTTGCGAGAAGACGATAGCCATGATGACACCGTAGATGGCGACAACTTCACAGAAGATAATGGAAATCAAGTTCTTGGTTCGGATGCGAGGGGCCTTAACACCACCTCCGAGAATCGACGAGCCGGTAATGAAGATGCCCCTGGAGATAATGTGTCAGAGCTGTGATGTAAGAATTGTTGTCTGAGGCTATACGCACCATGCAGCACCAACAACAGAGAGACCGATGCAAAGCGCGATTCCTAGAGTAGCCCATGTATAAGGCGAAACAGATTCGAGAAACGCGCCGACATCGAAGGACTCGCCGCTTCCGGTGAAGAGCATGTCTATACGACAGCATCATGGTCAGTAAAAGTACACTAGAGCCTCCAAGTATCAACGTCTCTAGGGAACGGGTTTCGCGTACAAGCTCCAACGATGGTCAAGAACGACCCAATGCCGCCCACTCCATAGTATAGACTCATTGCGACGGTATTCGAATTGTTATCTCGACGATCCGGGGGTTGATATGTTGGCGATGGTGGGCGTCGGGTCGGATGAAGATGGCTTATTCTGAGCTTGAAGGAGCTCCTGTTTCAAGGTACCTCGAAGCTGCGATGCGTGTCCAGCAAGCAGGCAACTGGAATAACTGGGTACGACGTCACATGATGCGAGGCTGACTGGTGGCTTGTGGCGCGCTTAGTCATTCCCACTTTGTACATCCCCCGAGGCAGATGCATCTCATGAACCTTGCCCTTGACAAACAATCAACCACCCAAAGCCGAAAATAGTAATTTAACGATCGACTCTTCTCGCGCCCGAACTTCAAACCCGCAATCATGGCTACCGGAGCGCAATCCTTCTATGAGCTGTACCGCCGAAGCAGGTACTGCGCCATATTGCTATGCGCTGCTTTGCGACAGCCTGACTAACATGGTTCACTGCAGCATTGGTCTCGCTTTGACAGATACCCTCGATGATCTCATCAGCGACGAGCGCATCAACCCTCAGCTTGCCATGAAGATTTTGAGCAATTTCGATCAGGCCATCACCGAGGCTCTTCAGAAGAACGTTAAAGCTAGGCTTCAATTTAAGGTGAGCGAATACCTCCGAGCTCGGCGCACGTATTTCGACCAGAACTAACCACCTCACCTACAGGGAAGCCTTGACACCTATCGATTCTGCGACGAAGTCTGGACCTTTTTGATCAAGAACGTAACCTTTAAAATGGACAATGGGAGTCAATCCGTTACGGCGAACAAGGTTAAGATTGTTAGCTGCAACGCCAAGAAGCCTGGCGAGGGACAATAAGTCAACGACTCAAGAATGCGCAAGAACGGATACGAAGAAGCAGATGCGCAACTTTCATAAATTGGGAAACTACCAAAATTCTGCTTTTCCAGCATTGGGCGGCGTTTGGAATCTGGCTCTTTACTTTTACAGGACATTGATTTATTGTGGGCAAGAAGCAAAGCACTGGATTCAGTGCTAAGAAACTAGACTTGATTCTATGCACAATCAACAGAAGTTTAGTCAAGAATGATATGATATTGCTTTACCTGGACTCTACCTGATTAAATAGAGAAATAGCATGACGCATGTAAATTCACTTCCCCAGATTCTGGTGGTGAGGCTGGTTTCTTAAAACGTCTCTGACCAGGGGCGAGTCTGCCTAAGACCGGTAGTCCCCCACTAAAAGACCACTTCTCAGCCTCTAACAAGGGTGCCAAGTCAATCCATCATTATCAGGGGCCCTCCATTCTCACCAACCTAAGAACTCCGAAGACTCCGACGACCATGCTCCGTAAACGTCAGAGGCCAGAAGCTGGACCTTCTTCTTCGCCTTTAAAGAAACAGCCATCCCCTGAGATGCCGTCGCCGAGTAACTGGAGCCTGCGGTCGCAATGGATGTTCTTTGCGGTTGCTAGTGGTGCTTGTGCTGCTTTCAATGGAGTTTTTGCAAAGTTGTAAGTACAAAGACATTGTTCCCTCACAGTGACGATTATGCAGAGTCTATTCCAAGTGTATGATGATAATGCAAATTGCGCTACGGAGGCTTCGGGTTGGCAACCGGCCTGAAAGATGGAAGGTATACTAATTTATGCTCAGGACAACTACACAACTCACTACCAACCTATCCAATAGCATTGCGAAATTGATTGGCTTGTCCGCTCATGAGCACATAGTTGAATATCTCGTCCGGGGCGTAAGTGGATCTCTTCTACCCATTACTTGACTTGCAACTAAACCTTGTAGATATTCTTTGTCCTCAACTTAACGTTCAATGGCGTTGTAAGTGACTCCCAGTCGAACCTCTGATCACTCACTTATATGCTTCAGATGTGGACGCTTTTCACCCAGGCTCTTGCCCGTGGTACATCCACAACTCAAGTCTCCATCATGAATACATCTACGAACTTCATGGTCACAGCAGTACTAGGCGCCTTGATCTTCTCGGAAGTTCTCCCGCCTCTATGGTGGGCTGGTGCTGCGCTTCTTGTCGCAGGTAATGTCATTGTGGGACGAAAGGATGAGACTAAAGACGCTGGTGCTGCGGCCGCTGCCGAGGGGCCGAGTTATGTTCCTTTGCCGACTGAAGATGATGGAGCGCAGCGGGATGACGAGGATATTATTGATTTAGGAAGAGTGTCGGATGAGGAACCACGATAGACAGGTTGGCCAGTCACAGTTTTGATGCAGAATGCCACGAGAGACACGCTGTTGGATACTCGATAGAGTTCGGCCATGTAGCATAAGTCAAAAGTAATAGATTCAGTCCCGAACACCAGCGTATCATGCACATTTCTATAGTACCAAATAACAAAAGGTAACAATCAACATGTTCATACAATTACCGTCGACTCTCCAGCTCAACGCCCTCATCGAGTACCTCCTCATCGCCGTCTAATATTTGCCCTCTGCCCAGTGGCCGCTCACCGCCAGAAGTGCTTGTTAGGCGAATCCGACCTCCAGAATATCTTGAGACTCGACCAGAGAACCAGTTGCCGGCCCGTTGGAACAGATTCCAAAGTTGCTCTTGCCCCTCTTCGATACGATGATTATCCTTGGGATTCTCGGCGGCTTCGACCTTGAACTGATATTTCAGACAATCTTTGACGGTCACGAGACCGGTGAGCTTGCCATGATATTCAATCAGAATAACTCGTGGACCAATTTTCTGAAACAATTCCATGACGGTCTCGAGGGGTAGTCTTGGGTGAGCTGTGACGGGTGTTGCATCAACATATCGGCTAAAGTCGAGAGTTGAAGAGTGTGATGAGTCGCCATGGATGTTGTTGAGCGATGTACTTGACAAATTTGCCGACGACGGTGCAAATGTGCATTTTGCAGTCTCTGATAATGGTGAGGTTCGGCTCATCTTATCAATAGCATACCGCAACTCCGTACTGCCGATATAACCAACAAGCACCTTGGTGTGTTTGTCTTCCACCACGGGGAAGCCTTGGTATCGATCATCAGCAAGGAGGCTCTGGACTTCGCCCAAGGTAAGCCCATGAACGGGCATCGAGACAACGGAGGTTCTCATGACAGCCGAAACAGGGACTCCAAAGTTGTGCTCCTCTTTACTGTCAAGGAACGGCATTCCACTGAACCATATCATTCTATCTGCGATGCCTCCTTTGCCAAACAACTCGCTGACAGCCTTGGTGACTCCAACGACGATCATGGTGGGGAGGATGTAGTTCAGAGCACCTGTGAGCTCAAACATGATGACCACCACGGATATAGTGATGTGCATGATGCCACTGAGTGCCGCGGCGGCTCCTAGTAGGGCATATGTACCTGGTGTGATGCAAGGCTCGTCAGGCTTGCATGCTGAAAAGAAGACGCTGGTGGGATTGGCTTCGTGAATAGCTTGAACAAGAATTCCAATTGTTCTTCCGAAAGATGCTCCAATAGCCATTGAAGGAACGAAGATACCAGCGGGAACCTTGCATCCATAGGATAGTATAACAAGGAAAAGCCTTAGGAAGGTCGCCAGAAATAGTGATATTATGTTCCACCATCTCTTATCAGGCTCGCAGAGACCATGGTACGATTCTCCACGACCGCACTCTGAGAAGAGAATCTCCATACTCTCTGTCATGTCAATCCTCAAGAAGGCATTAGGGTAAGCAATAATAGCAGTTCCAGCTGCCAGTAGAGTCGCTTCGAGAACTGCATACTCTTTCAAGTACTTCTTTCTGAATGACTGAACCCGCAAATTCCACTTAATCACAAAGGCTCCATAAAGACCTCCGAAAATACCAATCAAGACGTAGAAAAGCAGCTCGAAGAAGTGCCAGTCGTTCTTATACTCAACCTGGAACATAACCAGTTGGCCCGTTCGAAAAGGATTCATAGCAGCGAGAACAGCTGTCGCTACCAGGGCACAGAAATAGCTTCGCCATAATGTCTTGAGAGGGAATTGGTTCGACATCTCCTCAAGAGAGAAAAGCACACCGCCGATAGGACTGCCAAAAGCGACAGCGACACCAGCAGCTGCCGAGGCGCTCAGAAACTCCCTAGTCTTGGAAGCGTTGCGCTTGTATTTGTCGAAAAGTCGAGAGATCACGTTTCCCGTACACACGGCGTAGTGTACACTTGGGCCTTCCTTTCCAACTGACAAGCCAGATGCGATGGCTAGAGGGAGGCATATTGATTTGATGATCAGGGTCCACCATCCAAGGAAGCCTTTCATAACGAACCCGGCAATGATGCACTTGATCTCAGAAATACCTGAACCGGCAGCATATGGTGCGAAAGACTTAACCAAGGTGCCCGCAACACAAGCAAATAGAGTCTATATCATCAGTCTATAACCAAAATCGAAGGGAGACTTGGCACTTACTGCAAAGACAAAATAGATGAAATAGTTCAAGGGTTCGAAGCCAGTCCATCTGTGCCACTGATCGCAGCCTGTCTGGTGTCAGTATCATTCATGTCACCGTACCCTGAACACCACATACCATTCTCTTCTCCCCAGCAGCAAAAGTTCTCATTCAAATAGAAGCCTGTCTCGCAATAGCCCATCTTGACATCGGAGAGCCATTCTGTAATGATATTGAGTAGCGCTGCGTTCAAGCCAATCGCAATGCCAATGATTGTTACCACGATCCAGGCTTGCGCTGCATCATAACTCCTCCACAGCTGATATCGCCAGCCAGGTTGTCCTTTATCGTAGAGACCGGCCGCTTGCTTTCTTCGCGCCTTACGCTTAGCTTGTTCTCGCGCCGCATCTTGAACCCAGTCTAACGTATATCAGTACCGAAATCCGTATCGTAGTCGATCGAGTCGCATACCTATTGTTGTAAAGTCCTAGTCCAGCTAGTTAGCACAGAGCCGCATATCCAGTGTCCCACAACATACTTCATATCTCTTAATCTCGGCAATCTCCTCCTCAATGAGCCCAGCCCCTGTACGCGCTGCACTCCCTGTTTCTTGATCTGCATTCGAAAAGACGGAGGATAAACGTGATACCACCGAAGGACGTCTTTCAAGCCCAGGTCCAGGAGGTGCCAAGCTGAAGGATGATTGTCGCACGTTCATGGCTCAGGCAAGGCAACCATTGTCGCTCAACCGCTATCTTTGAAGTCGCGTAAACCGGGGTGATTGGATTGACTGATTAAAGATGCTAACGAGGCGAAAACGAGAGCTGTTTCTTTAGTCAAAGGCTATTTCGTAGACGTTGTTATATGGTGAGTGTCGTAATGACCAACAGGGATGCTGACAGCTGACATGTGGCTTTAGGTTCCAGCCACAGTATCGCGTTTAGTGGTTGCAGCATCGCGTCTCAGACTTCAGTTAATATCATTCTTCGTGTATCTTGACTTCACGAGAACAGTAATTCATATTTAACTCGACTAATCAGCCATTTATAGCGACATAAAGACTTTTAATCTTCTCCTAAATAACTCCATAACCCTCATATTCTCTTTATTCTCGACTCCCAACTCTCAACCGTATCTTAGCCCCTGATACTACTCTTGAAGCATTGGCTTAGAGTCAAGGTACGCCTCGCATTTCTTGTTCAAGGCGCTCGCGCAATTCAGATGTCATATTCAATATTGGAGTCGCTGGCGCACTTGCTTTTAGTGTTTGTTTTCTTTCCTTCTCTCCCAAGTCTGCTGTTCTGTATTTTATGGTGACTTTCTTACCCTTGTCCCCAACTTTGGCCTTCGCCCCTAGCCGATATTCAAAGTCATCCACCTCACGCATTGATACATACATTTAGCTCTTTCTAACTCATTCAGACTCATCCTTGTCGCATTCTCGAGCGATTTCGTCTCTACTGCCGCCATGCCTTATAACACCACTGCTATTCCTCCTCGAAAGGAGCCTACAGGCCAGAATCAGCTTCCTCGTAAGCAATTGACCATGCTCTCCAGTCACAATCTAACATAATTATAGTCTCTAGAGTTAAGAAGATCATCGCACAAGACCCAGATATCGGTCTATGCTCTAACAACGCAGCTTTCGTGATAACTCTTGCTGCCGTATGTCTTCGCTATTTGATATTACCATCATCATGCTCACGCGACACAGGAAATGTTTGTTCAGCATCTCGCAGAAGAGTCACATACCCAAGCCAAGCTAGATCGCAAACCTCGTCGAAACATCCAATACAAGGACGTCGGTAAGTTACGCCACCCATACTTCATCAGCTCTTTCTAACTTCAATAGCAAGCGCTGTTGCACACCATGACAACCTCGAGTTTCTTGAAGACGTTGTACCAAAGACTGTTCCCTACAAGAACATCAAGGCCAAGGCCAAGGCCACGCAGGCACGTCTCCAAGGTGACAATACCAATCAGAAACTTGAATTTTCCTTGGCAAACGGCGCCGGCAAGCCTCTTGTGAACGGCAACTCCATGGGTCATCATGATAGACAGGACGACCCGAACTCGCAGCTGGAGTTGGAGTTCAGACAGGCTTCTGGTGCGAATCGGGATGGAGATGTAGCAATGACTGGCTAGTTGTAGTATTGCTCATTTGTTAGGTGGCTGACGGTAGAAAGAGGCGTTTTCAGGATTGACCGTTAGTCAGCTAAATTAGATAAAGAGGGCAAAAGCTGTCTATCAGCATTATGTACATCACAAACAAACAACAAGCTTCATATTTGGCATCAACTTCCATTTATTGGTATGTGAGGATATAGCCATAATCCGAAAGCCAAATAATCATAGTATTTTTTTCTGCAACCCCCAAACCAAGCAGTACAAAGCCATCACAGATGTAAAGATTTATTCCTCCATGGCATCTCCATGAATACCAGAAGGCAGACGTCCCTCGTTCAACTCTTTCTCCAGCGCGATAATCTCCTGTAGGCTAGTAGCCTTCTTAATACGCTCCTGTAGTCGCTTCTTCTCAGCGTCCGTCAGCTTTATTCGGGAAAGCTTAGAGGGTGCGTCTGAGCCGTCAGTCGAGGTGTTGAAAGTTGTAGTCTTGATACCCTGGATCTGTGTCGTTGTTAGCTTCATGCAACTGTTCTATTATTGGTGCTGTCCATACCTTTGAAGCCAGAGCTGTTGGCTCTTCGTCAGTTCCGAAGAGTTCGCGAGCTTTCTCCCGCTCGGACTCTTTGACCTTTTCGAAGTCGAGAAACCGCACGGAGGGACACTTCCATAGCACCCAGTATCGATAGTTCTGCATCTTGCATCAGTAATTGCTACACCAGTCGACACGTCTCAGACTGACCTCCTTCTTGGAAACGGGGTTATCCGACAGTACCAAGTGCGTCAAGCGGGGAAATGACGCCAGCGCATCCAAGTCCGCAAGCTCTGTCAGGTTGTTCGACGATAGCACCAGGTTGGCAAGGTTTGGGATGGCCTTAGCCAGAGAGGGCTGAATGCTTGAAACACGGTTTCGCGCGAGGAGAAGGGTCGTTATGCGAGGCGACAAGGGAAAGTTACCCAGTACTTGAATGTCATTGTCTGTGAAGTCGATGGCATCGTGAGGCTAAGCTGTTAACAACAGAGCAACAAGGCAGAGGATTTGGAACTTACGCCAGCGACACCCAAGTTCTCAATCGCGGGAATTCGGTGTCCTGTTCACGCCGCAAAGACGATTGTATCAACTCTGCGCTCTCTAAAGATCAAAAATGTAGCATCTGCTCTTTTCAAAACGCACCTCGAAGATCAAGCTCTCGCTCCTTGAGCGGGTTGAGGTAGGATAGGGAATCCCGGATGAGGTCGGCGGTAAGCCGCATCTTGGGTCTGGGGCCGTTACCTCGGGTTCAAAAATGAAGTTGCTCGGATTTGGTACACTGTGGGATCGAGATTGGAGGCTGTTTGGAAGGGCACGCGAATGTCGGTAGTGTTGATTTATGGCAAGGCAAGGCTGCGGCTTGACGAGGCGTGGGGGAAATTTTGGTGTCGCGTGTGGCTTGAGCTTAGAGTGGCACACAGACCCCAGCCACCATAGACTTAGATTGAAGGACAGGCAGCTCAGTAAGTTTTACAACACAAACCAGTCAATCACAGAACAGAGAGTGGTTCAGGATTGCAATTTCCCTAAGCTTGGGAGTTGATGATAATGTAATTCCTGCTTAATTGTTCTATCCAGAAATAAGCTGCTAGCAAACTAAAAGGTGATTGCTCTTGTTGTCTTTATAAACTGCATCGCGTCACTAGCTGTCTCTCGGCTCTACTGAAACACAAAAACAACGCCCATCCTGTCCACCGAAACGCTCATAGTGTACGGGAACTCCAACAACGCCACATCTAAAATAGAATCCACGTGAGACTGCAACAACTGCTGTTGTTGAAGGGATATAACAGTCGACCGAGGTGGTCGGGCGCTCGACGACTTGGCTCTTGATCCAGAACCCGCATTTGGAGCCGTTGGAGCCTGCCTAGGAAAACGCTCCGTGTTTAACGTCAGCGCCGTCGTAGGGTGCGAGGTCGTGTAAGTCGGTTTGGGTAAATCTGGGGACAGTCCACTGTAGATGAACGAGCTCTCCATCCGTGAAAGGTCCCAGAAGCGAAGTCTTTTATCTGATCCGCCAGTGACGATAAAGGCGTGCCTCACGTCTCTTGAGTCTTCTGCAGTTGCGGTTCCGACAACCATGGCGCGAACTCCGCGATCGGCGTTGGCGATTTCATTGGGTTCGATGTTAGTAGCATATCGTCCGAGCATGCCTTCTCGCCTGTCTTCGTCCACATCCCATGCCTCATACCCTTTAAGACCATCCTTGCTGCCTCCTGCTCTGTAAATTTCTCGGCAGACGGTTTTCTCTAGATCCCAAACCGTCACTTCACCTTGTCCAGTGCCACCAGAAATGCAGACCCATTTGCCACGGCCTTTGGTAGGGTGGATGCAAATTCGATAGATCGAGCCTTTACCTGGTAGGCCCCAGCCCTTGAGTCTCATCTTGAAACGCAAATCCCAGAGGTCGATAACTCCATGAGAAGTACCCACACAAAGCCAGTTGCGCTTCCTATCCACGCAAAAGCAAGTTGGCGTTCCATGGTGCACAGGATTTTCGAGAGTGTATAGGAGGCTCATGGTCCTCAAGTCGATACCGAGAATCCTTGAGCGATTCGTGGCGATGACAAGAATCGAGTTTGATTCTTGTCTGAAGTGTTCACACCACACCGCGAACTCGCCATCTGGTAGTTGATACTCACGCAGAACACGCAATTTGCCGTACCTAACAACTCCACTAGCAGATACGGTGTCGACCTTAACCACGTGAACGGTACCATCAGACGCACAGCTCACAAAACAATGCGAGTTTTCCACGAAACAGAGGGCGACAACTCGTGTGTTATCTCCATGTTTGTGAAGTTGACGAGAACGGTGCGTAATGTTTCGCTCGAGCCTAGCCGTATCCCACACCCTCACAGTACCATCGTCGCCGCCGGTGATGAAGAAAACATGATCAGGGGATGGCAAAACCCTATTGATAGGACTTTTATGTTCGGAAAACGTTGCGACAAGTTGTCCAACCGGTTTCCAAGGTTCCTCGCCAGGTTGGACACTGGCGCGACTTGCTTTGCTCCTCTTAATCGGTGTGACCATAGGCCCAAACTCGATAACATCACGAGGAAAGTTATCAACATACATGTTGTCTAACATTCTTTGTATGCTTGGATCGTTGCCTGCGTAACTATGTTTCGACACACGGGATCCGGTAGTGTCTCCTTCGTTCCCTTCAGAAGAAGGTTGCTGGTCTGTTGAAGTCTGAGCGAAAGGCCCTTCGACCTCACCAAATGCATTGGCGTCGGTGGTGCCAGTTTGTGCGATAGATTTGTTCTTGTCCTTGCGGTCAAGGAGACTCAGGGCGCTTGCCTGGTGGCGAACTTCATTTCTGGAAGGTGGCTCTCCTTGAGAGGATCCATCGTCAGCTGTTTGCATTACCTGCCCTGCTGAGGGCGCTCTGGTATGCGTTCGGCCAGCGCTAGTTGGTGAAAGAAGACGGCGTGATGAACGAGGTCCAACACTTTGTACTCGCCGGTTAGTGTTGACCCTCTTTTTTCCGCCAGTCGAGTCGTCAATAGTCATGGAGGCGTCCAAGAGGGCATCTGCAATTGTGTAAGGTTCCGCTGGTGGCTCAAGATCCACCACTGCATTGGGGTCTCGAAGTGGCGCATCATTGAAGAACACCGTTTGAGGAGTGACTCCCAAGGATTTGAGAGATACCACACCATTGTATGTAGTACCATCTGTTGTAGAAGTATCACGCGCCTTCATCTTGCTAAGACGCCAAATGAATTCACGTAAAGCATCGAGCTTCAACTCATCCTCATGCTTGAGTCCAAGGTTTCTGAGTTTCGTCAGCCATTGCTCGTCTTCGTCATTTCGGGCCACTCGTCCCATAGAGCTTTGCATTAAATCTCGAGAGGTGCGGCTTGATCTTGACCCTTTGGAGCCGAACAATAACGGTTTGAGCTGTTGCAGGGGCTTCCAGTAGACGCCACGTTCTGTCTTCGAGGCCCAGGTTATAGCCTGATCAAAGACATTTCGAGCTAATGGCCTCTTGAGAGCATCAAGTATGTTGAGTTCGGAGAAGTCTGAGAGAACCTCCACTTTCAGGAACGGTTTTACAAGAGGCATCAGGTTACACCTAATATCAGCAGGTGGCAAGTACCGTGCTGACATTGACAGGAATTCTGCCGCTGATTCGCGGATCCAGATGTTTGGGTGCATCGTGAATCGGCTGATGAGGTCAACTAGCTCCCAAACCTTGGGCCTCGATAACAAACCAAGCCCAGCAAGCTGAGCAAGCGAATGGAGAGCCGCCTGTACCACGTACTCCTCTGGGTCAGTCAAGGCTTGTATCATCAAGGGTAGCATGAACTCCTCCAAGCTCGTGCTTCCAATGAAGGCTGCGATGCCGACGATCGTATCGAAAAATGCGCATTTCAGCGTCCAATCTCGATCATTCAGATATGTGTTAAGATGAGTAAGGAGGACATCGTTTGAATGATGGTCAAAGAAGAGGCACAGCTCGGGTACGGAGGCCAAAAATGCTCTGCGAACCGAGATGTCCGGGTCTTCTACCAATTGCTTTGAATGGCTCTCAAGAACCTCAAAAAGCTGTCGCCCAGCGTTGTCAAAGACGCTCTCGAAGTTTGCTTTGGCATCGGCTCCAGGTTCGACCTCAGGATCTGTAATAGGCATCGAGCCATCAGCTCGAAGGCTTGAGGCCATATTAAGGAATCTCTGTGCAGTAGTCGCAAGACTGCCGAGACAAGAAGCATAAGCTGCTCTGACCAAAGGACTGGGTACTCTTGATCTAGACCCCAACGCGATTTCCATACGAGGCAATACGTACTCCACCAGGACATGAGAGTTGAATGCATTGACTGTCTGAACCAGCTGCAGAAGCTGGGTAATGGTTCGAATAGCGGCAATCAACACTAGATCTGTCTCATCTGGGACGAGAAGAGTCATTAGATATGGCAAAACTCTGTCCAACTTGGCTTCATCAGTCAGCCTCTCAGAAAAGGCAAGGAGTACGTCACATGCGCGG